TGTGTGAAAGAAATTACCAGGCTTTTAGTGAAGGAGAACTTGGGAAAGTAACTGTTATAGATATATATTATTTTTAACAATATATAATTCTAAATAAAAAAATATATAATATATATATAATGATTATAAATTATATATGACATGTACTGTTAGTAAAAGCTTGGAAATACAAACTAGTTCAACATCTGAGAGAACCTTTTAATGATGAGCAGAAAATCCAATGAACTGACTTTCTATTACGTGTCTCTTCTTTAAATTTAAATAATAAATAATAAATAATAATAATAAATAGTAAAGTTTAATAAAAACAATTTTTTAGCAAATATGTTGTAAGATCATCATCATTTTTGTATTAAAATATCCATAAAATCAAGGCTATTGAATGTCATAAAATGAGTTTCATAAACACCAAAAGCGTGTTGCTTTATAGCTTCTATTCTGGATGATGATTAAATATCTATATACTCTTTTTAGTAAATATAATAATTTAAGTATAAAAACCTAATAACTTCATTACTTTTTCTTAGTTTTTAATAACAAATCGAGTTACAACAAATTATACTTCAGGAAAACATTTTCATTCTAAATTTTCATTTAAGCTTTAGTTTATTTGTCATTTGTCCTCTTGCTTTCTATTTTCCTTTCATTTTACTTAACTTATTAAGAGCAGACATTTTTTGTCCAAGTGCTATACAAACATCAATGTGTGTGTGTGTGTTTGTGTGTGTGTAAGTGTGTGGGTGTGCGAATGTGTGTGTGCCCTGAGTGTTTGAGCGTCTTTATAGCTTTAAGTAAGCAATTTGAAATTTGAGCTTCTTGAAGCGTTCTACAACAAAAGGCAGGCTAAATTGTTGTTTTCCCCAAATTGTTGTGAGTTAATTTTCTTTCACATTGTTTGACAGACAGACAGGACTTTGCACTCGCACACACAGACACAGTCACATACACATGATTTAAGGGTTAATTTAACATCAATTGAATTTCCTTAAAGTCGGCTCTTCTTGGCAACTCGTGACTGATGGCCAGCCCAAGGAAAGTAAAAGAAAGCACTTTTCTTTTCTTTTTCAGGCGAGAGAGAGCCTGAGAAATTTCTAATTACAATAATTAATGCGTCGAGTTGAGTGTTCCCTGTTGCCTGGAATTTTTCGTGTTTTTTTTGCAGCTTCTGGCTGAGTGCCAGGACAATTTCGCAGGCCTCCTTCTCAGCTTTGCTGTGCTCTGTCTGGCGTCTTTATCATGACAATGCCAACATGTCGTATACTAAATTTTGCAGGCATCATGTCTGCGTCGAAGGTTGACGTGAGCTCACGTACCGAAAGGAATAAGGAAGGAATAAGGCCACGCCCACATGGGCACACACAGCAAAAAAATAAATAAAAGAAATGAATAAAATAAAAAACAAATTCTAAATGAAATAAAAAAAGAAGCGCTTCTTTATGCGCATATATTCACATATAAGAAGACCCAGGACGACCTGCGAGTTCAAGTCTCTGCCGGAGATGCATTAGCATATCGTATTATCCTCAAAAAAAAAAGGATACGAGTTATATATACATATATATATATACTACAGCAAATAATTTGACTTTCAGTGAAATCAAAAGTCGAAAGGCAGGCAGAATGTGCTCAGAAGAGGGATTGCTGATGCAAACAATATTTTTGGAATAAACACAGTTGGGGATTAATATATATATATATATATATATATAGAATTTAAAATACAGAATAAGTAGGTCATACCTTGATACTTTTTGCTATCCAAATGCTTGATTTAATTCCCATAAATCGGTTAGTTACTATTAATGTTAAGGTTAAGATTTGGAATAAAATTGTATTAAAACATTTTAGCCGCAGCATAATACATCTTTCCATCACCCACGCCTTTGCTCTTGAACTCAACCGCAAGTCGCATTTGTTGGTTTTCCGCACACTCACACACTAAACAAATGGACATTAAACACATACACACACACACGCACACCCCAAAGACACACCACACACACATACCAAGCCACACAAAGTGTGCAGTCAGCTTAATTGCCGCACAGACCGGAAACCAAAAACCATTTCCTATTTAATTCTTTTTTTTTTTGTTAGTGATGGTTAACAATGAAGTGAAGACTTTAAAACAAATAATATATCCTGTTTTAAAATATAATAATAAATTACATAAATTAAGTAACTATGATCAGCAAGCATCTATGATCAGTAATTAACTATGAGTAGTAATTAAGTATGAGCATTAAGTAACTCTGAATAATAAATATCTATGAACATTGAGTAACTTTGATCACCAAGCATCTATGATCAGTAATTATCTATGATCAGTAATTATCTATGATCAGTAATTAACTATGACCACTAAGTAACTCTGAACATTAAGTATCTATAATCACAAAATATCTGTGATCAATAAGTATGTATGATTAACTTTGAACACTAATAAACAATGACTTGCAACTTTTGTAACACAACACATATCAGAGACCAGGCCAGAAGAAGGCACTTCGTTACGGGGATGTTAGAACAAGTTGGGAATCATATGCACAGATGTGCGAGATTTGCTTTAGAACAAATATAAGCTATTTTAACGAAACTATGGAGTTATTCTTCTATATAATTTTACTAGTATATAAGCCGAAGCAGGTCGAATCGGTGGACTATATATATTAATATATATAGCTGCCATAGGAACGATCGGAATATTTTTAAGAAACACATAGCTTTGCGATGCAAACATGAATGCAGATACTACTTATGCAAAAGAACTAGCAGGAAATATGTAGATGCTGTTGAATATGGAGTATCTCATAGCCGGGACACTCCACCAAAGCGTTTCATCCATCCTTCCTTCCTTCCTTTGCCGACGAATGTGAGAATGAGTGTTTGAATTAGCAGATGTACGTGTCACATTCAGGACTCGTTGCCACTCGCATTTGCACATGCCAAATGCCAAATGCCGAATGCCGAATGCCGTATGGCGAATGGCGAATGGCGAATGGCAAATGTCGAATGGCGAAAACAAATTCCTGAGTAGTTTTTTTTTACATTTTCCATTACCCCTGCTCATGCATTCTCTTTGCAGGCACTCATGGCATTTCTCCTTTCCGTATGCTCTTTCCGTTTCCGGTCCGTTTTCGCATGTTATTTGCATGCAGCTCACGAGGCCATAGGACAAATTTTCTGGACTCGAAGTCTAAAGCCACCACTAGAATCTGGCCTTGCTCAAGGAAAAGGCTCAAGGATCTCTCCAGCAATCTGGCTGCATGAATGCAGCAGGCTCAAGGAGTTATCGAATACACGCCCACAAGGCAATGTGTGTATGTGTATGTGGGGAAAAGTGGTTCAAGGAGCTGCAGACTGGCAATGAAGTGGATTGGTTATGAACTGCACAGGCAGATTGTTCCACTGAACTTGAATCGAATTGTGGTAGTCAGAAAATGCAGCCTATTTCCAAATATATTTAAATATATTTGAGCACTAAAGAAGTTATAAATATATATAAGAAACTAAAGCTAGAGCTTAAATTGGAACATAATAATCCAATAGAAATATGACTTAATGCTAAATTTATTATTATATATAACCTTCTCGAAAGTTTGTTAATTTAATTAAATTTAAACCCTCAATCAAGCCGCATGCACTCTTTCACTGTCATTATTCATCTTTTCTCCCATATGCCACATTAATTTTCTTACTCCGGGAAAATTTTCCTTGGAATTTGCAGCTCTAAACTTTTCGGTTAAAGTTTTCCCAGGTAAAAAGTGAGGAATAGGGGATGCCAAATCGGTGAAAATAAAAGCTTGTTGGTCTGCTGGTCTTAGATCAACACAAAAGTAGCTGGGAAAACGCTAAAACGATGAACTGTTAAAGCGCCTTTTGTGGCCTCTAGGGGTTCATGCACTCTAAAAAGAAGTTTGCAGAACTTTAAAAATATTGAATACCCCAAAAGAACCTTCTAAAGATATTATTTTCCTAAGAATTCAAACTTTTAACAACCTTTCTTATGATATAATATAATATATCAACTTTTAATATATCATAGAATCCTTACTGATTTTTTTATGTCTCTCTCTATCTTAGATATTAATTTCCTATGAATGGGAATTTTTAATTAACTTTCTCTTGGTATATAAAAGAATATATACTTTAAATATATCATAGTTTGCTTTATTTATGTTCTTGATATTTCTATTTCTCTCACTGTACCAGTATATTTTGGCCAGCAAGTGTTCTGTTATAAAAAGGCAACCGAGCGTCAGGACCACTGCGCCTTATGTCCTTAATGCGTATGTGTGTGTGTATTGGCGTGTGTGGCTTTGTGTGTTTTGGGTTTTGATGGTGCTTCATGGAACATTTCACTGTTTTAATTTACGTTTTATTTCTGCTTTAATAGCGGTGAGCGGGAATATTGGTTTTATCATCAAGAAGGTCAGAAAATGGTACTAAAATTCCAGAAAGATTTCACTATAATATCTAAATAATTAAATATAAAGTATTTAATTTGAAGCTTTGCTTGCTTGAAAATGATGTTACTTTCTATGGAATATGATTAAATATTGAACTCTCTAATAGATTAACTAAGTTTGCAACTCAGTAATAGAATATTCAATTATTTGTATTACGTAACATTTAATTTTAAACTCAAAAATAGATTTAAACAGTAAATAACAAATCATAACAATTAATTTTTCAAACTAAACACTAACTAAATAATATAAATGATCGTTTCTACTGCACTTCAAGGCGCTGATCTTTCCATTTCCTATACAACCGCTCAATTCGCCGAAGAATCTTGATTAGTTTTGGGTCATCTTGGCAAAATCACTCAAAATATCTGTTACCATATGCTTCTTGTTATATAGTTCCCTCATCGGTTGTTTGGTTTTCCTTAAATAGCGCTGCCTAAACTTGTAAACAGCTTGGCCATCGAACAAGCTTCTAAGGAATGCTATCAGCTGTTCATCTGCAAAATGAATGGCCGCCAAGACTTCGGGGAAACATCTTCCACATTTTCCAACAGGGGATCGCCAAGAACTTGAAAAGGATGCCTCGGCAGCTTTGGCTGGGATTTGACTTTTTCCACCACCAAATATTCAATCAAACGTCTAGCTTCAAACATCAATGATTTCTTAAGGTGCTTGTTAATGGCATCCTTCTTGGCAACGGACAACTTTCTCTCTAGAACATAATTCTGACCAGTCAGGACACTTGGACTGAGTTTAGTTGGTCGTGATCCTTTTATGATATGTCCAAAAGTCGAAGGTTTGGAAGGGTCTTGCTTCCTGCGGATCCTTGCATTTCGACAAATGTGAGGATAATGCTTCCGGCCATTCTTAATACAAAAGGATAAACCAATGTCACCCGAATATTGTCGCGATTCTTCCTCAACATTTGCAGAACTTGAAGCTGGCCATGGTTCCCGCTTATAAAGGATCTTGACAGAACAAGATTTTTGACCTAAGGATGGATTGTTGAGTATTGAGTATAGGGATTTTCTAGGGGATTTTCTTACCTATCGATTCCGTGTCACCTTCCTCATCATTTGCAGAGGTCGAAGCTTTCCACTCTCCCTTCATATAAAGTACATTGGTGGTAAAACCCTCTTGCTCTATCGATGGATCATTTTCCTTTGTGTTGGAGCGAGGGAATTCCCCAGCTTTCGATTCTGTATCATTGTATGAAGTGTATCTGAATCTGGCACCGCCTTCAAGGCGTTGATCCTCCGATAAATGTTCCGAAACTGGTGGACTTGCATCATCCCCAAAAGCTACCGAAAATATACGTCTTATATCAATATCAAAATGTCGCAGCTCGTTCAAGCATCTCTCTCTAAGGATATTTGTTTGCTTTATGTTCTCTTCCGATTTCTTTTGCCAGTCCAAGAAGAGAGCACTAAGATGGGCGGCTGCCTCTTTTGATTTTGACAAAACCTTTAGATTCTCCTTCATAAAACAATTTTCAACTTCATCATATGGATTTGGCTGCGCCTCCTGCTCTTGCACAATATGCTCGAACATGTCGATAAAATATTTGTTTCCTTTATGAAGAGTGTCCTTGCTTTTTGATTGGTGCGATTTCCGGTTTCTTTTTGGTTGCTCCTCCACATCTCTCTTTTTGGTTTTGCGATCATTCTTCAGGCGTTCTTTCTCTTTATCTTCTATTGGTAAGCTGCTTTTCCTGCTTTTAGACTTTTCTTGAATTTTCCTAACAAGTTGCTCATTGTATTCGGTTGCCTCTTTTAAGAACTTTTCTTTGGCTCTACGTGCCTTCTTCTTGCGTTTAATTTTTTGTGCCAAAGTTAACCCAACAGCTGGCTCTTTATACTTCTCAAGAAGATGGGTCCATTTCTGAATCAGAGCCTTCTCCATGAGATTATAGACATCATTCTTGTCGTCGTTAATATTTATATCTTCAAATTCTTTTTTAAGCTGTCTTTTCGATTTTCTTTGTGGGTATTCCTCTTGTCTCTGTTCTGATTCTTCTGAAGCCTCCACTTCTTTTTCAAACTCTTCTTGAATTCTCAATTGTCTTCTTTCATTTTTATGCTGTCTTTGGTACTTTCTTTCCTCATCTCGTCTTTGTTTTGTTTCTTTTCGAGTCTCCTCTTCTTTTTCCATTTTTTCCTCTTGCATTGTTTTTTATTTCTTTCCTCTTCAAGCTGTCTTTGATACTTTCTCTCTTCCTCCCGTCTTTGTTTTGATTCTTTTCGAGTCTCCTCTTCTTTTTTATACTCCTCCTCTTGCATTTTCTTTTGAATTCTTTCGTCTTCTCGTCTTTCCAACTCTTCTTGCATTATCCTCTCTTTTTCAAGCTGCCTTTGGTACTCTCTTTCTTCCTCTTGTTTCTGTTCTAATTCTTCTCGAACTTTCTCTTTCTCTTGCTTTCTTTTTGGTTTCTATCTTCATTGACGTTTCCTACACCGACTTCCTCTTGCTTTGTCTTCCTGTCCAAAGGATTTTCTCCAGCTGTTGCTCTGCCCTGTTTATCCTCCAGGACAGCTTTTTCCTGGTTCAATTGCTGCATCTTGAGACGCTCTCGCTCCTCCACCGCTTTTTTGCTGTTGTACTCCTTGAGTTCCTGGTAGGCCATCACCTTTTTCTTAACATCCTCCGCTCGAAGGACGGCCTGATGTTTAAGGACCTTGGAACACGCACATTTGTTGGCAGTGTGACATTTCTGACAGTTTACTTGCTTATTGGGTTGAGGTACTGGTTCCTTGGCAGACTTAATATTTACCTTTTTCACTTCTTGAACTTGAACCCCTTTTTGGCGCTGAGAAGGCGCCATGGTTCTGTGTTTCTTGAGAGGAATCTGAGCTTCCCGTCGTTTGTTTATTAAAAAGCGTTCATGGTCACGTCGCTCCTTGACTTTGAGCTGTTTCTGGAGAAGATGTTTCTCCCCAGCCAGGCGTGCCTTTTCCCTGCGTTGGACATCCAGTTGGCGTCGCTCGGTCACAATTTGACGCTCTTGATCCTTTGTCTTCTTGATCTCCTGCTTTTTGGGAGCTTGATCTTTCCGGGATGATCCTGGAGGCAACTCCACCTGAACACCAATGTCCTGGATTGCGGTCTGTTCTTTGGACTGCAAGGCGACTGGAAACTCGTGAAGCCATTGCTCTTGCTCCTGGCGGCGATACTGCTCCTCGAGAGTGTTTAGATGCTCAATTCTGGTTTGCCAAATGAATGTTGTCTTCTGGCTAATAGTGTCCTTGGAGGGCATTTCTGGCTGACTGGCGTGGCTCAACCTTTGACGACCTTCCTCGTCAAGGAGCAGGTGCAAAGCAGTGCGATTATTCACATAAGTTGTGAAAGGTTGCGACAACTGACCCTGTCGCAATTGACGCTCCATCTGATCGAGCAAACAATTCCGAACCCTGGCCTCATCTTTGCCCGAGGAACTGAGAAAATGTAACCAATTTGAGCAACGAACACGATCCTCGGCATGTCCCAGTTCGTGTATTAAATTGCGAATGTTATCTATCTTAATGCGACTATTGCGCTCGAGGCGCTCCATCTCACCTGGGATATCTTTTGATTTACTCGCCATCAAAAAAGTTCAAAATAAAATACTGGTTTTCTATTTTTTTTTTTCTTCTCATATAAGTTGCACGTTGGGATCTCGGAATAAGACTGAATAATATAAGCTATTGCTTCGGGGATGTAAGTTCACTAGACTCAAGGCTTACTTTGATCTTAATTGTATAAAAAAACTGCTAGGGTTTCTCTTTAGATTTTATATATTTATATTCCTTATGTTCTTGGTTATAAAAGATATATGTATATGCTACACAACAATGCTTCCACGCAGTTGCACAGCACATATTTTGGTCAAAACAATCAAAAGTGGCAACCACAAGGCAAATAGAAGGGAGTGAGGGCCAAAAACACAAAGCCAAATAACAAAAAGAAATTTAAACAAAAATGAAAATGAAAATGAAAACGAAACAAATGTTGGCCGGCAGCTAAAAGGCAATGGGGAAAATGGGGAAATACAATACAGAAACGGAGCAGCTACTTTGGTAACAATAAATGGACCAAAATGGACTCTGTCTCGACCAAATAATTTGGCCATTTTCTGGCCGAAAAATAGGCACACACACACACACGCACAAATACACACTCGCACACACACACACACACAACATAAATAACTCAATTGCAAACTATTTGCTTGAAAAGTTTCCTTTTGCCCTGCGGCAGCCTGTTGACTTACAAAAGTTCTCCTTTTCCCCCATTGCCGATTTTCCATTCACATTCCCACACCCGGTTTTTCCCCGCAATTTTCCAAATTTCCCACACTCCCCTTTCCCCATTTTGGTCAGCCTTGGCATGCAAAATAGTTGAAAAATGTAAATAACCAGAGAAGCGGCCCGCAAGGACGAAATAATTCATTAAAAGAATATCAAGTGTTAAAAGTCACACAATTTGCAAGGCACAAAAGAAAATTGTGCCATTGGCAATTTTCCCCATGAGGATGTGTGTGTGTCTGTGTGTGTTCCCAACAAAATTTCAATAGTTATCGCAGTTCTTTAAGCAGCAAATTAAGTTTGAGTAAAAGATAAGCGCTTAAAAAGGGTGTACGAAACATACTTTGAGGCCCAAAAGTTTGATCAATTTGAGCCGAGTTTCTGGAATTGCCAAGAGCATAAAACTCATTATTATGCTTATTATATATACTCTTTGCTAAGGGTATTATAAATTTGGTAAGAAGTTTGCCACGCCATGAGGAAGATATTTACAAAAAATAAAATATAGTAAATATATATTGGATCAATCTTGTGTTTTTAAATATAAAAATACTATTTATAGAGTAAAAATCTGTATAGTAGGGTTCTCCATTATTCGGCTTTCCTGGAATTGCCAAGAGCATAAAACTCATTATAATGCTTATTATATATACTCTTTGCTAAGGTATTATAAATTTGGTAAGAAGTTTGCCAAGCAGTACGGAAGATATTTTCCTAAAAAAAAATATATATTGAATATATATATAATGGTTTAATCATGTGTTTTTAAATATTAAAAGTACTACTTATATAGTAAAAATCTGTATAGCAGGGTTAGCTAAATTTCCTCTATGGCAAGGACATCCAACTTTCGGCTTCCTTAAGCTGGTAGCTTTTCCTTTTTTGCCATTATTGTTACTGCTGTTATTTTTGACAGCCATTAAGGCGAATAATCGATAAGTTATCGTTATTTGCCCTGCGTCGAGCAATCCCGCTTGTGTTTGGGCTTAGCGAATGGTGGCAGAATCGAAATGAATGCATAATGAATTTCCACAACTAAATGAATAAATGCAAAGCAATGCCAAATGACTGCCATATGGCTTTAAGGACACTTTCCGGAAACAGAGAGGAAGAGAGCAGGAGGCATAGGCAAGAAATCAACGAAATGTTAAATAAGCAAAACGTGACTTTATTCGCAAAATGATGAGGCCAGCAATGGAATGAATTTTTTTGGGGGCCAGCAAACGGGGATTCGGAAACCGGGAACCGAAAACCGAAAACCGAGAACCTAGAACCGAGAACCGAGAGTCGGGAACCGAGAACCCTTGGAAGTCTTAACACCTTTGCCAGTCACTGGCGATACCTCTTTCCCTCTCTTTCAGTACCCATTTTTAAAGGGGTATATAGGACTTGGTTAAAGAACTTGCTGGATGAAGATATATTAGACTAACTTTAGTCATAATTTTAAGCTAACTTCAGGCACTTGTAGTCTCAAGTCGAACCCATAAATATAGCTTTTTACCTCTTTACATAGTAATCCTTCTTAAACTAGAGACTAATTTTAGTCCTTCAAGTCGAATGACTTAAAACAACATTCCTTCAATGCATAAAACACTGTTTAGAGCTGTTTTAATTCATATTTCCTATAGCTATTTCTATATTTCTTAGGTACCTGTGCTCCTGTAGTCCTGCCCTATGTCCTTGCGTCCTGTTTTTGCCATGACTGCCGCTCCTGTGTTATCCTTAAGTGCTACTGGCAGCTGACGACGGACGAATGAACAAAACAAAAAAAAACAGAAAAAGGAAAAAATAGTCGGCCAAAAATTGCTGACAGCACTTTTGGAAATTGGCGTCGAAGGCAAAAGCGTAAAGGGGAAAGGGCAGGGGGTGAGCACAGTCAGGACCAAAAAGGACAAAGGACGAGGGACAAGTGCGTCTGACAGGCGTGGCATTAAAGCCGCCATAACGCTCACATTGATGGCTTTTGTCGCCGTTGTTTGGCCAAAAAACCAAAGTTTGTCATAAAGTGTCAAAGTGAATTGAAAATTTTCATTAAGCGCTGCAAATCTGCAGATTTCGCGCTGCCGCTGCTGCAACCGCACAAACCGCACCAACAAAACCGCAGCCCAAAACATTGACTGCACAAAAAAATATTGCAAAAAAATCCTAGCAAATACTAAATGCAAAAAAAAATAGATATATTCTCGAAATAATTGAAACAAGCCCGTTGATATTAAATGATATCAATTATGGACATTAAACTCGGCCATCAGAGAGTTGTTAAAATCAGCAATGTCATCGGGATTAAGGAAGGCTAAAAAGTTAATGCATTTTTTTGTTGAATGCTTAAATCAATAAATTTTAGAATTCATATTAAAAGTGAGCTAAGCAAAGCTTTCTTTTGTGAAAAAGCAATTAACGCTTATTAATATTAATAACAATATCAAACCTATATTTGTTCTGGTCTTTGCAATATATATTTGTATATACATATATTTTCTGACCCCTATACATTGGTCCTTTTGTCAAAATTTTGCCTGTCCTTCAGCCCATTCAGTTGTGCATTTTCCATATTCGTTTCGGTCGCTTTGTGCCTTTGACTTGGCCCATCGGCCATTGTTAAGCTTCTCCTTCAAAGGGTTAACAAAAAAAAAAACACACACACACACACATACACACAGTGTCCTGGAGCAGTCCTTCGAACGGCCCTCATGCCCGCGGGCCAAGGAGTAGAAGGATCCTTTTTGGCGAAGCCTTTTTTGTATGCGTTGTATGGTGTGGATTGGAGATGCTGGCGATGGCATTGGTACTAAGGATAAGGATGCAGAACTGGGCTGGCAGACACTGAGAGAAATTTCTTACAAATTAAGTAAAATATACCAATCCCTTAGCGCCCTATACTGATGTTTAAGATATATCAGGATAAGAAATATATTAATGATACGAAAAGGGGTTATAACTTCATTAGTTGTAGATCAAATTCAGCCTAATAAATTGCTTCAACTTGCTTTAATTAAACCCCATTCCAACTGTATTTCGCTCAGTGTATTGTCGTGTGTTCCCCGTCATGATTGATGCCCAGTTTGCGCGAGATTTCGTTTTAATGCCTTTGACAAATCCGTTAGCACAAACGATGGCAGCGCGGAGTTTCCGGGGACGAAGGACTAAGGACTTTATCCAGCGTTACTATATATGGATATATATGGAAGGACATCGGAAGGCAGAACGGGGACGAGCTAAGTCTTAATGACAAAAACATTGAAGCGACAATTTTTTTCCTTTTTTTTGCACCCTGCCTTCATCGTCATTCATGTCGACGTGAAGAAAACGTGGAAAACGAGCTGTGAGAAAGGAAATTCAAATTCAAGGCCTTTAAAATTTTGGGGGAAATTCTTAAAAATATTATTTAATATATAAAATTTGTTCAAATAATAATGGTATGTGCTTCGGTTTCATTAAGAATAATATCTTTTTCTATATCGATATATTCTGAATTCTAAAATGAACTAGAATCGTATTCATTATGGAATCTTATGAGATATACCCTTTGCTGTATAACTTTATTAAAGTTATTATAGATTCATTACAATCTGTTAGGATTTCTGTGGCATATGTATTAATTCCCTTTTAATTGTTGTTAAATTGAAACATGTGTTTTATTTACAAACAAAACATAAATGCAAACGTACAAAGTGTTTGCTTGAATTTCCATTAACAAGGTCAATACTTTGAGCACCTTTTCACACGACAAGGACAGCCACTTAATATATTTATGTAACTAGTAAAGCAACTACAGTGGAATATACTCGACTACAGGATACCTAGTACTCACAACTTAATACAAACAAAAGGCAAAACACCTTTCCATTTTAAAAATATAAATCTATATATATTCAAAGGAATATTAATATGATATTTTAAGAGCTAACCAAATAGCTCCTTCTGCCTTCTAAAAACTATAATACCCTTACACCCCTTAGACACTGAGAGGTGTGACCAGAAAACTGGACCTTAGCCCTAAAAAGCAAAACCGAAAGCCCAATATAAGTCAGCCTGGAAAAAAACGAGACCAAATATTTGCTGAAATTTAAGCATCGAAAGGTTGAAAGGTTCGACACTTTGAAGGAGGCGACAGGACCATGAGCGGGGCCAAACAAAAGGCGAAGCTTAGAAGCCATGACGCAGATGAAGATGAATGGACGTTAAGCGCAGCGTCAAGGAATTAGGTGGGGACAGGCTCAAGGCTCAAGGAGCAAAGGACCTGGGAAGGGGCAGGGTTCCCAACCAGATGACAAAAGATGATGACAACGAGGCGTGCGACAACGAGATTGGGGGGGAAAACGATGACGAGTCCGGGTTAATAGAGCTCCAAATAGTAAATACACTCTTATAAAAACGAA